GAGTTCATTGGTGCTACTTAGCATAGGTTCTTCCTGACCCTGTTCTTATAGATATAAAGCTTGAAGATGCCTCTATCATTGATAAAAAATCAGCTTCTTTGCTCGAGCCGTAAGGAAGATATTTTATTTTTTTTGGGTAACATGACTTTTGGGCCACCCTGTATTATCTTGCAGTTTGCTCAAAATAGAATAGGCAACAACTGTGATATTTAATGGTATGAATATTTTTAGCCTCTGAATTTAAGACACGGTCAGACTTACTCATCACCACGTTTCAAAAGCGGACAGCTAACAATATTGGATTATTATCATCATTAATACATTTGTCAGTTGTTTCGAGTGGAATTGAAAGTGGTTCTGTCTATGAAACACTACTTGTCAACAACTCATGGATCATATTCCATAATTCACCACCGCCACCAGCTTTCAACGCGTGTACTTGTAGTGTGGCTTCTGAATGTATAATTGGGAAAGTGGGTTTTCAATGTATTCTTGTAAACAATTGTACGAAAGATACTACGGTTTGGACGATACCAGGTCTATTCTTGGCTTGCACTTATTATGAAAGTATACTTACATCCGATCTACGATGCTTCTATGACCAAGCATGTTTCAACACTATTCTTGCAATGTACAATGTTGACATGCCAGATAGACTTCCTTTGCCTTCATTCGTATCTTATCTACCTATACTGGACAAATTAGCTCCATCACGCTTTTCACCAACCGATAATCTTCGTACACTATTTGATAACCTCATGGTAGAAGAGTGGAATATTACAGGTGATTTTAATGGGTACTATAAAGCATGTGCGCCAGTTAGCTGCACTTATACATCTGTTCAGCGACTAAACATCATTGCTCTTGTTACAACAATCGTCGGCCTTATTGGTGGTCTTACTGTTTCATTACGCCTTCTAATTCGATTGGCAATACGAGTTATTCCTATGATCATAGCACAGTGGCAAAATCAACACGTTGTTGCAGATCATCCGGAAATAATCAGGCGTACAAGTATGAAAATATTCTTAAAAAAACACTGAATTGACAGGATAAGACGGAAGAAGCTCATGGAACTAATGTACAAAAATCATAGGATATAAGATGTGAACCATGTCAAAAAAAAAACATTATTTAGATTTCTCTTCGACATAGGAAATTTTTTCGTTTTTAATTCTAAAATAAAAGCGAAAATTTAAAAACAAAGATCCCCACACATCCAAACGAAACTAGACTAGTATGAATTTGTTCGCCATCCTTGAGCCTAGGATTACATAAACAAAACACAGAAGAATTTATTTGCTTCTAGTTTTCTATCATTTAGAAGAGCTGTAGAACTCGACAATTAGAATATTTGATGCATCAGTAATGGAATATGTCATTTAATATAAGAAAACTTAAATAAACTCCATATTTAAAAAAATATTTTTAGACAGATTTATGTTTTGATATAGTATAATCTAAGATTGTCTCGTAGATATTGGACATCTAATAACGTCCAGTTTTGTCTATATCAAACAATGGTTATCAAACATGAACTTGTTCAAGAAAGAATCTTCCGTCAGTCAAATGGAAGGACATTATCCGATGGCGACCGTTGCAAGCCGTATCTACATCATAATGTTCACTTTATGCATTCTCACTCTTGTTATTTGCAATGGCTTGAGCGAGACGACAGTCACAGTGACTTTACAATCACCATCCCTTACTACATTTGAACAAATACAAGCCAAATATTTGACTGAATTGTCATGTCCATGTAAACATATTGCTATAACTTATGGAAGATTTCTTTCAATGAAAGCTTCTTATCATCAAGTAAGATAGAAAGAGCTGTTTCTCCTCTCTGAAACTATAAATTTTGTAGAACTAGCTACTAAGGAACTTCCAAACACTGTGATGAAATAGTTTCTATAAAAGAAAAACAGATATTTTATGAATTTTTTTCAATGTCTTAACACAAATTGTAAGATGTACCAATCTCTCGAGAATTATTCGACCAATAATAGTAAAAAAAGAAGGAGGCGACAGCAAGTCTTTTTCAGTCGAATATGTATATACAAAAATATGTCAACACTGTTAATGGAAACGAGTAGAGTATTAGTAACTACAAAACTATCAATATACGTTGGAGATGATATTCGAAAAATGTGCGAATGATATTCACAAGGATGTAATATCATAAACTGAAAAATGCTATACAACTTTTTTATGACATTGTCAAACCAAGGAACATCGATAAGAAGTACACTAAAAATGCCTTTAGGATCGAATTTTGTGCTATACTCAGAAAACACTTACAGACTAAGATATTTTTGGAGCTATTTAGAGAATTTCTTTTTTAAAACCTTTAAATTTACTGAATAGTTATGATACGATAAAGTATTGACTGAACTGACGTTTGAAAATCGAAACAAAATCCCTGATGTATTAATCGTTCTAAAAGAGCCATGTATTATTTCCGTAAAGAAGTTTTGCTATTTATTTACTTCACAGATAAACTCTACGAATATAAATAACAATGTTGACTGTGAGGTTTTCGAATATATCAATAATTTTGAGCCGTTTTAGACGAATAGGCAATTACAGATTACTTATCTACGATAGCCTCTTGTATTATTCATTTCCGAGTAAAACTTTTTTTTGTGAAAAAAATTGAAACTGAAAGTCAAAAACATCAGGCGAAGAAAATTGTAGAGACCAAAGCTATGATGAGCCACGTAGTGCGTTCATAGAAATCTTTATTTCAAATTATCGTTAATAAAACACTCAAAGTAGAAATATCTAAGCTTTTAGATTCCAGTCGTTTTGACTGTAAAAATTCATCTTGAACTCAAATTGGGTTGAAAATACTTGTTTTTTATCTAAACAGTTAGAACTCAGACGACAAATTGATCATGCATATTCGACAATAAGATTTGTATTATAATTAAAAATATTATTTGTTTTCGAGGTATGTTCGAGTCCATTTATCACTCCAATATGGACAACTTCATTGTATGGTTATGGTAAGGATGTCAAACTATATCGAGAATTCGATCGACCTTTTTTCAGCAGACAATATCAAATATTGAGCATGCTTTGTAACGTGTCACAATCGATTGTCCATAATACTCTATCAAATTTTAATAACACATTGTTGGTAACTGCTTTAGTACTATCTCGAGCATCTTTCGAATCACAAATTGAAGTTATTATCCGTCAACTAATCGCTATGGTGCCATTAGAATTTCAGCGAACTATTATTTTCGCAATGGAAGTCATTCAAAGTAATTTAATTCCGACATCTTTCAATACGGATTGGATTATTGAATATGGAAATGCGTCAAATGACTATCTTTTGCGATTTATACCGCGATTATATAATAATGATACATGTAATTGCGTTGTTTCATCAACTTGTCAAGAACCTTTACAGATAGGTCCTCCTGGTATTATATTACCTGGTCTTGTTGTTGGCTGCTCACCCATCAATGCTTTACGTATGTCAACACTTGAATGCATGTTTTCAATGGGTTGTGTCAATACGATTCTCAGTTATCTTAACTACTATACAGAGCTAGATGGATCACTACCGTCGAATTTTACTATACCTACAACATTACCTTTTATTATTCATCCACTTAATCAATCAATTCCATCACGTTTTTTACCGACTACACTGATTGGTACACTAATTGATGGGCTGTTTATTGAAGATTGGCAAAATATTAGTTTATATGAAGATTATTTTGCTGCTTGTCAACCTACTATGTGCCAATACAAGTATATTCAACGCAATAATATATTGTTTGTATTTACATCTTTACTTGGTTTGTACGGTGGACTCGTGGTTAGCTTACGATTTCTAGTATGGCACGGTATCTGTCTGTATCGATGGATAAAATTTTCTAATTATGTTCATCCTGAAGCAGTTGTACCACGTACAAACACAGTCTAAATGATAACACTTATTGCACAGATTTAACTGAATATAACAGTTTTCAAAGATGCTTACATTTTCATTATAAATTTCTTTTTCAGAACAGTGTATCCTAATCTTAATCAATATATAATCTTGTATGTTAACAATTACTTCATATATATATATATTTCTGAAATAAAATATCTTGGTTATGTATATACACTTGATTAATATTTTTATTCTTTATATCTTTCTTCCCAAAACTATTAGAATCCTCATAAAGTTTTCCATAACAACAAATACTTATGCCGTTTTGCCAAAAGATTGATTTCAGAGAAAAGTTTTTTTCAACGCAGAATAATCTGACTTTCTACTAACATACAGAGATGTTTCGAATTTATTTTTTCTTATTTTTCTAATAAACTCGACTGACTAAAGGCTTCGTAAATTGATCATGATTTTTCCTACCGAGTTCTAAGCTTTTGCATTAGAAGAAATTATATCCAATCATATTCAGAAACTTATTAGAGTCGCACATTGAGCTGTCTTTTTCTGCTGGGGCAAAAGAAAAACAACGTCCTATATCAAACTACTTAGGGGTATCCAAAAGTAATGGCAACGACATTTTATTACCATATTTTAGGGTTGAGAAACAAAATTCTTTTTACATAGGATGATAGAACGGAAAATACTCTTTCTTTCTATGCTATTTGATCGTACTTCGGTTGACATCATAATAAAAAAATTCTAATAAAACTAGTTTGCCTAACATGTGTATCGGTTACAGAAGGTCACAGTGTCTCCAACATGCATTCTTTTCGTGATCTTTTCTTTGTTTTTCTTCTTTCCTTTATTCTTTTCTCTCGTCTCTTCTGAGACTATATTATTTATCCATATCGGCATATGCGAAAATCGAAAATTCATGAGCAAATTCAATAAGTTTTATTTGATTAAATGTTCAAAGTAATTGCCTTGATTATCTACACACAACCACATTCTTTGAATCCATTTCTCAAATGTTTTTCTATACTCATCTTTATCCAAAGAATTCATAAACTCGGTTATGGCATGATGTAATGTTTCGGAATTAGCTTGATCAGTTAGATTTCGTTTGATAAGGCCGAATAACCAAAAATCACAGGAAGATAGATCTGGAGAATTGAGCAAATGTTGTACTATGGTAATTCCCTCTGAACGAGGATAATCTAGGACATCTTGATGAATATGTGCTCGTCCATTATCATGATGAAGTTTGATTGCATGAGTACCTGAGGAAGGTCTTTGTTTCTTAATTTCTTCGATCACAGGTTGCAAAAAATTTTCGATGTAATAATGGCGATCGATAGTCTATTCACGTTCGACACGATGGATTAGAAGAGAACCAGTTGATTTAAAGAAAATACAAAATAAAGTTTTAGGAACAAATTTATTTTGTCGTATTATTGTTGGTGAAGGATCACCTTTTGCCACCCAAGCAGCATTGGAAAATTTTCAACCAGTTTGCTGATGGAAAAACCACGATTGATCACCTGTTATCACGTCACACAAACGGCATCCTCCTGCTGTAAAACTTGATAGATTTTCTTTGCATATTTGAATTCGTTCATTTCGTTGATAATCCGTTAGCTGTTAGGGTATGTAACGAGCAGTAATTTTTCTAAGTTCCAGATGATCCGATAATATTCGATGAACGGTGCCATAGTTTAGACCAGTATGCTTCTGTAATTCTGCTATTGTAACATAAGGATCATCGTTAACGACACTACGAATTTCTTCAATATTGTCAAGAGTAGTCTCAGTTACAGGTCTTCCAGATCGTTTTTCATCTTCAATTTCTTCTCGACCTTCACGAAACCATTGAGCCCATCTGGCAACTGTTCGATAAGAAGGAGCTTCATCACCAAAAACCGTATGCAACTCGT